GTGTGTGTGTGTGTGTGTGTGTAAAAAAAAAAAAAAACAAAACAGCCCTTGGTTAAGAAAAAAGTAAATTCTGATGAGAACTGCAGTTCAGTACTGAGGAAAAGGTAAATAATATATGAAAATAATATAATTCAAAAATCAAACATAAAAAATTAAAACAACATGGTTAAGTAAACATTAATTCTTTAATAGATATCCCAAGAATGGGAAATTCGTATATTCTATTTTGTAGTTCCTTTCATAAGATCTTAAATCAGTGGCAGTGATATACTGTAATGTAGGAAAAAGGCATGAATTATTTTCCTTATACACTGACTTTAAATGAGTACCTTCTGTGTGCCAGATATTATCCTAAGTGTTACAAGTAAAATTAGCTCATGTTTCAAGGAATAATCTAGTGTAAAAAAGGTCAATGGCTATTGAAATTTAAAACCTTAATTCTCCTGTCTCAAAAGATGCATCAGAAAGCTCTGATGGAAAACCTTCTGTCATAGTAGTTTCTCCATATTTTCCAAATCCCATGTAATAAGGTACGGCAACAATTTTCTCAAAGTGTATTTCAAAGCAAAGCTTATAGTTAAGATCCTTCGCAATTTGCAATGAGGTACTAAATTCTCCAAGTTGCTATAAAAAGAACTAATATTTAGGTTTTCAGCATTACCTCCATATTATTTGAATAATAGTTTTAAATTGATATGGACTATATCTAGCACCATGGCAAGACTTAAAATTTTCTTTCCTAGGGTGTAGTTCAGTGGTAGAGTGCTTACCTGGCATACAGGAGGCTTTGTGTTCCATCCCTAGCAACGCACACACATGCACGCATGCACACACACACACACACACACACACACACACACACATCTCTTATTTCACCAGCATACCTAACAAATCAAAAAGACTAGAGTTTCATTCTTAGGTTCCATAAACACTTGAGAACCTTGTAATGTATACATAACCATCTATTAAGGAAAAATTATAAAATTTTCTGACATATCCATGTGAAGTCAACACAAAATGGAGAGAAGAGGGGATGCAATATCAAGATATATTATGGACTAGGGTGTAGCTCAGTGGTGCAGTGCATGCATGTGAGGCTATGGGTTCAATCCCCAAAACTGCAAAAAAAAATAATAATAATGTTATTGTGCTACTAACACATCTAAGGAAGAGATTCAATAGAGGAGTTTTCATTATACCTAACAGGATTCAGGGAAACAAATTTTCTATATTTTTTCAATAATAGCTAAGGTAACATTTACCAAACTGTGGTATATATACGCTAAGAATCTTTAGGCAAGTCATGTATGATTTTTATTTTTATAGTTATTTTAGTGTTTTTTACTTTAGTATGTATTAGAAAACAATCACACCAAACATGATTTCAGAAGTCAAATTGCTTACAGTGAGGCTACAGTAAATATTTTTAAAATATTTATTCTACTGAAGAATAGGCATATGCAATTATGGCAAAAATCATATGATGATATTCTGATAGTTTAAGTATCAGTTTTAGTATCAGTATTAAATTTTGGTACAAAGACTGGATCTGAGGGCTAGTTACTAAAGATAAGTTCTCTATTGTGAATAAATGTATTCATCGTCACCTGCTCTGATTCCATGCTCACTCATCAACTTTCTGATTAATAATTTGACTTTGCAAGTAAAGAGATACTGGTTTTAAAATCTTGATCTTTCCTAGTATTCCTGAGAGGGCCTACTTGTAAGCAACCAGCCCTCCATGATGATAACACTTTCAGAGACCCCTAAACACTGTTATAAATGTACTTAATGAGAGCTCAAAGTCAGCAAAGGATAAAAGTCCAATGGTAATCCTTAGATTAAATGGTCTTTGTGACCCTTTGCCACAGAAAAATGGTTCATCAGTGAATTATGGAATTCGGTGAACAGTCACTGGGAAAACACTGCACACCAAACTCTAGTCCTTTCCATTCCCTGTAGATGTTACCTACTTCTAAAAACAAAGCTGACTTTTCTGAGACCCAAATGGCAAATAAAAACTGATTCATCAGTGTCATCACTAAGTCATCCCAAGTGTATTTTTTAAAAAGTACATCACTTTAAGAAGAGCAATTGTGACCTTATTCTGGAAAAAAAAATTCTCTAACTATCCACCAAAGAAGCCTACATTGACCAACCCTTTAACAATAATCCCATGAAACTATAACAGATGCTCCAAGGATTCTTCAGATCTAGCCTTAAAAATACAGTAAGTCCCCAATTTATGAACATTCGCATTGCAGACTTTCATAGACATGAACAGACCGCATTGTGAACATTTGTAGATGTGAACAATCACGGAAGTAGCTCACATGTCTGCAGGATGTTGTAGGACTGGTAGTGTACAGTAGTAGTACGGTATTCAATCAGAGCCCAGGCTGTCCAGAAGCAGGAGGAAAAGCAGTGGTGATGTGGAGGGGACTGCTAGGAAGCACAAAACAATATGTATTGTATATTTGTGTTAAAGATGTATGACTTACTTTGTCAGACTTACAAATAAATCCAACTTACAAATACATAGAACTTGTTCTTAGGTTGGGGTCTTACTGTAACACAGACACATCTGCCACATTCTATTGATTATAAAAAAATAATAAGACCAGTCCAGATTCAAGGAGAGGGAAAACTGGAGACCTGGTTCACTGAAGAGACTAGCTGTTGATGATGTCCACTGTGTGTTACTTAATTCCTTTGGCATTCACAAGTCCCTCTTAAATCCCAATAACCTGAATATTTGCTGTTTTATTGTTGTCCCATAAGCTTCCCCATTCTACCTCATTTTCTCTTCTATATATTTTCAAATAGTTTCATTAATTCTATCCACTGTTTGATTTATTCTGTTATTAATGCCTTCTTAATTTGTTTCTAATTTCACTTCATGTATTTTTTCCTCATTGAGTTTATTGGTACATTTTAGGTATACAGTACAGTTACATTCATCATTGGGATCCTGTACCTTTACATGATACATGTTGGTATTTCATGTATTTTTTAACCCAAGGATTTGTGTTTGATTTTTAAAATTGCTTCCATCTCTGTTAATTTTGTTAGCATATTGAATCATATCTCTGTGCTATCTTAAAGATTATTGAGTTTCCTTAAAAGGGATGCTTTAAATTCTCCTTCTGAGCCTTGAACTTACACTGGTTACTGGCTAGTCAGTTTCTGGCAACTTATTTTGACAATTAGGTAAAGTCGCAGTTCCCTGAAAGTTTTTGATGCTTGTTAAGTCTTTGAGTATTGAAGGATTAGATATTTATTCCAATCTTAGCAATCTGGCTTTGTTTTTACCTAGCTTTTCAGAAATTCAAGCAGGGTACTTATTTTCTCTGAGCCTATGGACACTTCTGCACTTTAAGCACTAGAGGGATGTTTGCTATTGTTGTATTGCCTATGTTTCAGCACTAGAGGGGGATTTAAGCTCAGATTTGTCCCAAAACAGCAGTTG